ACAACAAACGCATTGAAGACGAGACGGCCAAACTGGACATCAAGGACTTCTACGTGGCCTCAAGCCCTCCGCCCTCCAACTTTGTCGACACACCGGCCAGACCTCAGTCGGCCACTGGAAACCACGGGCAACGACAGCGAATGCTAAGCGGAGGCAATACTCCCGTAGAGAGACAGCGGATGCTTAGCGGAGGCAATAGTTTAGATAAGACTAAGGGAACGCCTATGAAGAGAGCCAAATGGCATTTGGGTTCGCATTCATACAGTACTTGTATTCCTCAATTGGTTCCCAAATTAAATGTCTATTAATCACAGGAATCCGATCGCAGAGCAAACCACACGATATAATGAATGAAGTTTACAGAGCTATGAAAGCATTGGATTTCGTCAGTTGACAACCATTTGTTGAATTGAGTGAACAATTGATTAAACTATTGTTTGTGTCCTCAGGAGTGGAAAATCGTGAACGCATTCCATGTGCGGACTCGTAGGAAGAATCCGATAACCGGGAAGTACGTGAAGATGACTCTCCAGTTATATCAAGTGGATTACAAGAGCTATTTGCTTGACTTCAAGTCGTTGGCCTGCAATGAGGACGAGCCCAACGAGCTGTGCGCCAGTGCTGGCAGTGGAAGCAATTCCAGTGACCCATACAATCAGTCCCAATGCCATCATATTATGGAGTTCTTCGAGATGTGCGCCTCTCTGATCACTCAATTGGCGCGTTAGTCAACACAAACACAACCTCCCGGTGCTAATGGCAGCAAAGTTTTCATTTTTGATTGCGTCTTCCCTTTTGTTTGCTTTCAATTACAAGATCTATACCTCAATAGCAGTGGTCTTTGCGCTCCAGATTTCATCCATAATTATATACTTTTGTTATTCATATTAATCTCTTTATATATAATATATGTTGAAATCAATTATTTTGAACATAGCTTTAAATGTATTGAAAACAATCTCGAGATTCTGTCAATCAATTCAACGTTAATTATAACTATTATTATAATTAAAATTAATTTTAAAACCAAATCGTTTAACCAAAAATTATTTATTAAATCCAATCGTGATTTACATTCAATTACTTCGAAGTGGAGGCAGTGGTGGCCGATCCGGACGCGGGTGCAGAGCCTTTCACTTTGGGGGCAATGCTTTGAAAGCCTTTCTTGTATTTTCGGTACACTTTCTTCAGGTGACGCATACGTCCCGTTCCCGTCGTCTTACGCCGGATGGCCTTCACGGACCAGTTGTCTGGTTATGCAAATCAACACCAATACGGGTCACACAATGGCCTCAACAGACTCGGCGTCAAAGACTTACATTTCCTGATGCGAGCGCTCGGGAATCCACACGAAGCACATGTCTTCTTCTGGATGTGATACGAGGATCGACCGCATCGGCGACACAAAGTGTGGGTCTTATTGCGACGCTTTCCGAAACTGGACGTCCCTTTCGTCTGCAATCAATGAGACAATGAGTGACACAATCAGACACAACAGTCAAGAGCATACCATTGTTCAGGTGATGATCACTGACTTGAGAGGAGTGAGGACTACAACAACACTCACGTTAACCACCAAAAGGAAGAGGAAGTNATTTGTAAAATAAATAATTTGTCAAAACTTCACATTTAATATTACTGTACAAAGTATTGTAGCTTTTAACCACTTTGACAGATTAATAATGGCTTGAATTCTTGATATGTCACAAATGACTGTAAACTAGCATAATTTTTCATTGAAAGTTATTGCCAACCGAATGTAGAAATCAAGTTTAATTATAGTTAAACCATTAGACAGCATTCAAAACTCTCTATAAAAGCATTGGACTTTTCACATTGTTTTAGTCAACTTATGATGAGTGGAAGTCTCATATTTTATTATTTTAATTTAAATTATTAGACAATTCAGTCCTTAACTGATTCTCGCAGTGATTCTGTGTCTACCACTCGACGCGTTTGAAGTTTTAAGACAATGTCGGTCTCAGATATGACATCACCTGAAGTGAGGTGCGACTCATATAACCTGAATGTGGAGGAGAAGCTAAAAGTTGATCGCAAGAAATTCGAGGCACTTCTTGAGGGAAACGGTAGGTTTGCATAATTTGTAAAGATTGCATGATTTTGACATTTATTGTATAGATCCCGAGTTTGGAACCGCTGATGCATTCTTTGCATACATTATGGATGAATTCCCGTCAGTTGTGATCACTTGGCCACCGAAGTTGAAGTCGGGAACCAAGTCCAAGAAAGACCCGCACGTGAAGATATCGGGACTCCCTTTTATGGTGAGAGCGGCCAAACTTAAGATATTGGGTACTTTGGACCCGACCCGGGATCGACTGACTCTTAAGATGGACGTGGACTGGACGGCGCACTCGCATGTGATCGGCAAAGCGGGCGCTTCCATACAGAAAGTAATGGACAGCACTGGCTGTCACGTGCACTTCCCTGACGCCAACCGCACCAACAGCAATGAAAAGTCTAATCAGGTGTCTATCGCTGGATCAGCTCTTGGCGTTAACAAGGCTCGCGTTGCCATCAGATACTTACTGCCAATTGTGGTCTCATTTAATCTGATAGTTAGTTGTGGCAGTCGTTCGGCATTTGTCGAGCGACTCAATCGAGTCATACAATTCGTTGAGAATATGACTTCCACTCAGTTTACACTTCGATTCAACGCTTCCACGCGTTTGGCATTTGACACGACAGTTGTGACGGTCTTAGTCCGAGGGCTGTACGGAAAGAGCAATCTTTTGAAACTCGGGATCAACTTATTTCTAGAATATCTCAAAGACCTCTTTTTGAAAGAAGATATCATTTTTCAGATCAATACCGAGATCTCTGGCCAACACCACAACTTTGTTATGGGCTTTGATATGACTAACGTTAAGTCAATTATGCAAACGACAGGTGCGATGATAGCATTCCCTGAATCGACACACGACTGCCCGACCACTGAAGACCTCTTTTCTCAGCTGACTATCGGAATGCCTTCTTCACCGGCTTTCAAACGCAAGACAACCGTTACTATAAAGGCCTCAAACGTGGACTCGTTGTTGAGTGCCTTCCAACTGATCCAATACTATCTTCCGCTGTCTCTGACATTCGATCTGAAAGAAGGACAGGAAGTGAATATGACATCAATTGAGACGCTGTCCAAGAAATGGGAAGTAAGCGTTTCGGTGAAACCTAAGCCCAAACAGAATACTAAAACCGTTTGGATAAAAGCGGCCGAAAAGGACGAATGGAAACTCTTCGAAGTGAGACGTCTTGTCCTCGAAGCGCACGAGTTGAAGACCAATGTCTTAATGACAGACATATCCAGGATTTGGGTCCCAAATGATTTGGACGTTTCCGTACTCAGTCTAAACACTACTACAGAAAGCGATAATAGCGTTGACTCCTTAATCGAAAGAGATTCTGTATTTAATAGAGCGCCGGGAGCTGAGCGCAAGTGATGGCTATTTTTAAAGATATTGTTTTTTGTTTTAACTCTAATAATAGTTTTTAATGCAGTATTTAATGACTAATCCTCGAGCAATGAACCAAACAATTGCCACAAAACTGAGGCTATGATTATTTGATTGATTCATATTTTAGTAAAATGTTTTTTTGTGTAAATTTTTTTTGTTATCCTAAGCACTAATACTTAAATGATTTGTATTTTAATTAATCTTTATTTTAAATAATTTTAAAAAAATTGTGTTCAATAAATTTTTATTAAAAAAAACTAAAACAGTACTTATTTTCAATATAAGGAGTTAAAGTCCAGTATAACTATCGGAATATTTTTATAATTAAAAATTACTAGATACTTTTCATGGTTAATTAAAAAACTTTTTGAGGTATTAACTGTTTTGATAAATTAACAAGTTTAATAAACTTTGATAATTTATATGATATCACTTTTAGAATATGAAGTCTAATGTAAAAAGTGTGGTAAAGTATAGAGTATAATCTAATTTGAATACAATGATCATAGAATATGTCCTGGATCATGCAAACTAAGTGGACAGACAGTGCACTTCATTGTGGACAACACAACGCAAACCAATGCTATTGAATGCGTTGACAGTCACCGCGAACACCTCTACTGCCATAGACTGGCCTATAGTTAGTGTAGTGGTAGAGGTGTGCGATTCGGCACTTCCTCTTCCTTTTGGTGGTTAACGTGAGTGTTGTTGTAGTCCTCACTCCTCTCAAGTCAGTGATCATCACCTGAACAATGGTATGCTCTTGACTGTTGTGTCTGATTGTGTCACTCATTGTCTCATTGATTGCAGACGAAAGGGACGTCCAGTTTCGGAAAGCGTCGCAATAAGACCCACACTTTGTGTCGCCGATGCGGTCGATCCTCGTATCACATCCAGAAGAAGACATGTGCTTCGTGTGGATTCCCGAGCGCTCGCATCAGGAAATGTAAGTCTTTGACGCCGAGTCTGTTGAGGCCATTGTGTGACCCGTATTGGTGTTGATTTGCATAACCAGACAACTGGTCCGTGAAGGCCATCCGGCGTAAGACGACGGGAACGGGACGTATGCGTCACCTGAAGAAAGTGTACCGAAAATACAAGAAAGGCTTTCAAAGCATTGCCCCCAAAGTGAAAGGCTCTGCACCCGCGTCCGGATCGGCCACCACTGCCTCCACTTCGAANATAACCAGACAACTGGTCCGTGAAGGCCATCCGGCGTAAGACGACGGGAACGGGACGTATGCGTCACCTGAAGAAAGTGTACCGAAAATACAAGAAAGGCTTTCAAAGCATTGCCCCCAAAGTGAAAGGCTCTGCACCCGCGTCCGGATCGGCCACCACTGCCTCCACTTCGAAATAATTGAATGTAAATCACGATTGGATTCAATAAATAATTTTTGGTTAAATTTGGTTTTAAAATTAATTTTAATTATAATAATAGTTATAATTAACGTTGAATTGATTGACAGAATCTCGAGATTGTTTTCAATACATTTAAAGCTATGTTCAAAATAATTGATTTCAACATACATTATATATAAAGAGATTAATATGAATAACAAAAGTATATAATTATGGATGAAATCTGGAGCGCAAAGACCACTGCTATTGAGGTACAGATACCACTGCTATTGAGGTATAGATCTTGTAATTGAAAGCAAACAAAAAGGGAAGACGCAATCAAAAATGAAAACTTTGCTGCCATTAGCACCGGGAGGTTGTGTTTGTTTTGACTAACGCGCCAATTGAGTGATCAGAGAGGCGCACATCTCGAAGAACTCCATAATATGATGGCATTGGGACTGATTGTATGGGTCACTTCCATTGCTTCCACTGCCAGCACTGGCGCACAGCTCGTTGGGCTCGTCCTCATTGCAGGCCAACGACTTGAAGTCAAGCAAATAGCTCTTGTAATCCACTTGATATAACTGGAGAGTCATCTTCACGTACTTCCCGGTTATCGGATTCTTCCTACGAGTCCGCACATGGAATGCGTTCACGATTTTCCACTCCTGAGGATACAAACAAACAATAGTTTAATCAATTGTTCACTCAATTGAACAAATGGTTGGGAACTGACGAAATCCAATGCTTTCATAGCTCTGTAAACTTCATTCATTATATCGTGTGGTTTGCTCTGCGATCGGATTCCTGTAATTAATTGACATTTCATTTGGGAACCAATTGAGTACTGTATGAATGCGAACCCAAATGCCATTTGGCTCTCTTCATAGGCGTTCCCTTAGTCTTATCTAAACTGTTGCCTCCGCTAAGCATCCGCTGTCTCTCTACGGGAGTATTGCCTCCGCTTAGCATTCGTTGTCGTTGTCCGTGGTTTCCAGTGGCCGACTGAGGTCTGGCCGGTGTGTCGACAAAGTTGGAGGGCGGAGGGCTTGAGGCCACGTAGAAGTCCTTGATGTCCAGTTTGGCCGTCTCGTCTTCAATGCGTTTGTTGTCCACAATCAGATGGTATGCAATCCCCAACTGGTCGTGAGGGTCACCACTGAGCAGAGCGCTGTGCACCTCCTTATCCGTGACTCCGAATTTCTAACATAACAATCGCTATGTATTTGCTCTAAAAGTTGAGGCAAGAGTGGAATACCTCACAGACTTCACTGACGGCATCCATGTCTATAATGGAAGCGTCGTTATCAGTAGGCGATGGGAACAGATAGGCCGGCAGTTCCTTCTTAAACCACTCGTGATTTCTAAAAGTTATCATATTCTATAGATTCCATTCACTGGTGGTCAAGATGAATACACACTTTATGTCATCCATTGTGGCCCTCTTCATGGGATCCACTTGTAAAGTATGGACCAAAAGACTGACCACTGATTTATTCAGGTATTCAGGAATTGGAAATATTCCCGCTATATGTAAGTGAGACAAACTGTAAGCAAACTATAAGTTGTCAACAATTAAAGTGTCAAACATTTAATTTTCCTGAACAGAGTGGGCACGTGTTCGTCATCAAAGGGCAACTGAAACCATAGGACACAACAGTTTCATACATTTGAATCGTAATCAAACACATTTCAATACATGCTTACAGTTCCGCATAAAAGTGCATAGAGTATGACACCACACGACCAGATGTCCACTTCTGGTCCCGCATAGAGTCTATTGGTTTGAGTGAACAATGAATTCAATGACGGAATATACCGGTAATCATGAGTTGAAGGGAACTTACTTTCCGGAAATAACCTCCGGTGCGGCATAATTAGGAGATCCACAGCTGGTCCTCAAGAACTCGCCGTCCATCATCATATTCGAGAGGCCAAAGTCGGCTATTTTGACGCATAAATTCTGATCCAACAACAAGTTCTCGGGCTTAAGATCTCTGTGAACCACCTTTTGGTACAGAATTGCATGTGAATAGTTAGAGCGAATCCAGTGATGGCATGAGTGGTCATACAAACCATATGTCTGTGACAGTAATCCACTCCTGAAATAATCTGTTGGAAGAAACGGCGCGCCTCTGACTCCTTGAGCTGTAAACCAATGGTGAACATGATATGCTTGTATGACATAAGGAGTCATTAAAAGCATACCTTTCCGTGTTTGACAATATAGTCGAAGAGCTCCCCTCCGGACACGTACTCCATAATCATGAATATATCGGTCGGCGTACTAATCACTTGATACCTGAGTGGCCATACATTGACCATATATTAGAGTTAAGGCATCAGAATGGGTGTAAATGACATACAGTTTGATGATATGCGGGTGTCTGAAGAGCTTGAGGTTCTGGATCTCTCTGCGGATCTTTCCGACGACATCCAAGTTCTTGATCTTCTGTCGGTTGAGTATTTTGACGGCAACCTTATGGCCCGTCAACTGATGTCGAGCCGCTGTGGACACAAGCCATGAGACACTCATTCAACGCATTCAATGTGTCCGAAGATGTCTTACTCTTAACTTTGCCGAAGGATCCGATGCCTAACGTCTCGGCCAACAAGTAGTGACCGATTTTGATCGGCGGCTGACTTACCGTCTGATTCTTGTCACTCATCCTAAGATGTCTTCACCACGTCTTCCTCTGCAGCACACCAATTGCTCAAATGGTCAACAATTTGGTCACAAATGGCACCAAATTATGAGATAACCACTAATTGCGAGTAATTTGTAGTGAAATGAATGCTAAGTAATTGCAATGAAAACAATGCATTCAATGACTGAATCCGTGAATCACTTGCGAAACACAATATTCTTGTCATTCGTTACAATCGTATTGTTTTGTAAACATTTTGTTTACATCGCATTCAACACAACACTTACCCTATTATGCAATACACCACACAAGCGCTCACTCCATATACAAAGGGCCCACATCTATATGTCTGCGAGACATACAATACTATACAGCACTTCATGTCTTATTGATTCATGTCTTCATTTCTTATACCATAATCAGCTCAAGTGTCCTATAATTTGATGAAATCATTAATTATGGGAAATATATGTGAATTAATGAGCAAATGATTAGCTATTGAGTGTCGAGTGAACCCTTTTGTGGCATAGAGTGCCCCCAACCCCACCCCACCCCCACTTAGTTCGTGACAGTGTTTGTGGATGTGTTGGCTGTGAATGTTCAGCAATCAGTGGTGCAGTGATGGCTGAATGCAGTGATTGTAGTGATTGTTGTTGTGATCATAATTGCCATCATTTAAACCAAATGAACACCAAATCTCCGCCAAAGCACTCAAACAACAATCAAAACAAGTCTTCAGCCAATAGTTCCCAAATCAGTGATCAGAGTATCAAAAATGGTTTACTCCTCGAAGAGATCGTAAACGAGAAGAAACTGGTATTTAATTAGCGTTTCATTGATTTCATTGAATGACTAATTGTGTGGATCTGTTGACAGAATTTGATGACATCTCCAGTTGTCCTCCAATTCATCAGAGATAACCACAAGAAGATGAGTGCAAACAAAGGCACCAATTAGTGTGACATAGCCTTCAACTCAGCCACTAATAACTGGATTCATATGATAATTAATATATTATTTTAATAAAAAGCAAACAAACTTTGAATTGTTGTTCAATAAACACATTATTATTCATTGAATAGAGAGTCAAACCATTGAATCCAAACCATTGAATCCAAACCATTGAATCCAAACCAAAGCATTTGTTGTAATAATTGTTTGTGAACTGCTGAGGAATATATACCACGAAAGCAATACAATGACAGCTTTGAGCCAAAGGTCAGGAATCACTCAATTAGAGTTTCATCAGGCGATGAATGACTTCAAGACTATGTTTCCCGACATGGATGAGGATGTGATCGAAGCGGTTCTTCGGGCCAACAACGGGGCCGTCGACGCAACCATTGACCAGTTGCTGGCCATGAATCTGGACTCTGAAAATGAACGCCTCCGACAAGAGTTGGACTCGAGTGACAACAACGAAGTAATTGTCTCATCGCTGGCACCCAAATGCAGTTCAATCTAAATGTGATCTCATTTTATGACTTATAGGTTCCGCCGCGTTATTCGCCGGCCACTCCTCCGCCTTCTTACCACTCACTGCAACCACAGCCACAACCGACTCATATGAATAGCAGTCCTAATGGAAGACCACAACCCAAGGACTCGACCCAAAAGGCCACTAATAATGGCTCTCAAGTGTGTCCGCCAGTGAACACATCGGAAGCCATGCTCTCTAAGGACTCGATGCGCTATAAGCGTCAGTGGAATCCTCCCATTTTGGGACAATTACCCCACAGTTTCCTTCGCATTGAACCCGATGTGAACCAACGAAAACTGTCGGCTCTGAGTCGACCGCCTCGTGAGGTGACTGTCATTAACTCGGCATTACTTCAACAGGTTTTACATTTACTCAACATTTGTGGCGATTTTTATTTTATTTAATGTTTGTCTTAAGAAAATGGAAGAAAATCAAAGACAGCGTCAGATGTCCGTCAGTGCAGACGACCCAGAATTGGCTCAATTTCTGGAGGACGAAAGGGTCGCTATTTTTCTACAAAATGAAGAGTTTGTCAGAGAATTGCAGAAAAATAGCGATTTTATGTCGACCTTAGAATTGGATACGAGGTTTGATTGATCGCTCGTTTGCCATTGAATTGCATATAAAACTGTTTGCATGTATTGATAACAGAAGTAGTGTAGAGAGCAGTGGTTTGGGCGCATCGGGCGGTGCATCGCATACTGATTCTGACGCGGCATTCAAGGAGACCCTGAAACATATGGGCAAAGTGTCGCGCCGTAAGTTCGCTCAATTGGCGCGACTCTTCTCCCGCAGACGTCGAAGGAGTTTCCAACAGCTTCTCAACGATGGAAGCAATCCCTCTCTGGCTCGCGACGACCAGTACCACCAGTTCCACAATGAGATCTCAGATCATGACAGACAACTGGTGTTGAATGTGGACGAGAGTGAGCAACAGTCGCCGCAAAACACCGACAATAACACCAATTCTTTGCTAAATAACAGCACATTTCGAACGCATCACAAAATATAATTAACTTTAAAGCGATTTGTTATGAAATTATTTTTGTGTAAAATAATTGTTGAAAAGTATTGAGTTATCAGAGATCGATATTCTCTCAAATCATTGAAAGCATTCGTTTTACTAATCGATAACTTTATTTGATTTTTTATATCTTATTTGACAAATTGATAGATACTTGGATTGAGTGCTGATTTGAGTTCTTAATACATAAGATGTTATTATTATTACCCTATTTTAGCGTTACATATGAGCCTAACTGCTAGTCATTGCTTTGCATTGAAATATCGCTGAATCTCTAATTTATTCATAACTATGTTTTTTAATCAAATGATTATCAACTGATTTATAATAAGGTAGCATTTGGTAAGAAATGGATTTCCAATGAACTTACTATAACTTATATATGTGTTAATTGAATATTGTTTTACAAAACAAAATTATGTTTTACAATTGGCTCAATGGTTTTAATTTATAATAAGTTATATCTAAATGACTTGAATTGCAAACAAATTTACATAATTTATAGTTAATTTTTGGCAAATTATTATTTGTTATGTTGACATCTATTTTGTGGATTGAATTTCAGTTATATTATGCAATTTTTTGCTATAGTTTTATACATTTATTTATTTGTTTATTGGATACCAATAATGCGCGCAAAGTAGTGTTTATTTAGTAATTATGATACGTTTTTTAACTTATATTAACTAATATTAATTATTTGATGATTTTGTGAATCATTTCTTATATAACATAACTTATTTGAAATTTTGTAATTATTTAATTTAATTTTTTATTTGAATGCCTTTTTTCTAATTATGACTATTTTAATATACAAAACGTTTGAAAGTTTATAATTTGAAATTCAATAGAAACCCAATTTATTGTAAATTTAATTTATTTCTCTTGAAATTAATTGTTTCTGTTATATTTATAGACATTTTATTATATTACTAACTACTGATGAGAATACTATATGAGAATACATTTAGTTTAATGAAATCACATTTGCTTCAAAATTATATATAAATGAACTTATAAATGTTCTGTAAGAATAATGTAATTTAATTTATCTCATTATTAAAAGTCATTTTATATAAAATACTACTTATTTTCCATGAATCAATCGATAAGTATTATTGGATTTACTAACAATAAATATAATTGATGGTTAAGTACTGTACAGTATATACTATTTTGAGAATTATGAAGTGTGTGGTCGACTATCATTACAGAATATTTTAAATAAAAGTCTTTAAAATATTAGTCAACGGAAAGCAATAAAGATTTTTTATTGTTTTACTTTATTGATTATTTTTCGAGAAATTAGATTACTTTTAAAACTCGTGTTTAGTACAAAATTTAGTTTTGTTTGTTGGATTTAATAGTTCTTAGAATTATAAGATGATTAATTTATTTGCAATTTTAATACATTTGCAATATTCTAAACTAGTCAATATTAAAACTCATGAATTCTCTGTATAATTAAGAAATTATATTCAAATGATTTATTTTGTTATATTATCGTTAATAAATTATATATACGGTATATACTGTATATATATTATTTTATACTATATTTTTGATAATTTTTATAATTAATTGTTTGATTTGTAACTTATATTATTACTAAAAATATAACTTATGACAAATTAATTACCGTAAATTATGGGATAACGTCCAAATTTTAGATTGTAACTCGTAAGTTAACACAAAAACTACAAATTTAGGAAACTCAATTAGCAATGTTACTTAATATAATCGAAATTCTTTGTTAATTCTTATATTTATTGTTAATATTTTATTGAATAGACATACGGATTAAATGAGATGCAAATTATAACATTAATATCTGAATATCTGTGTAGTAAGAAAATTTAATGAGTTTATTAGATTTGACTCGTTGTCCAATCGGACCATTTGCCGAAAATAAATTAACTCTAATTTTGGTCAAATTGTGATCACTTATGATTGCTATTCATATATGAATTTTTTCTTGAATTCAAGTTGTATTTAAATTATAAGTACTGTATTATACAGTATATACAGTTGGAGTTACTGTAAACTCTACATTGTAAAGGAATATCAATTTTTAAATAATTTTTCTATTGCACTTAATATTAGGTTAATTATGAGAACACTATCAATCCGTCTCTCTCTCTCTCTCTCTCTCTCTCTCTCTCTCTCTGGTCATTGCCATTTATTCACATAATCTGATATATTTATAATTTGTAACATAATTATGAGACAGAAATGAGAAAGAGAATAAGAGAGAGAGAGAGAGAGAGAGAGAGAGAGAGAGAGATGTGAATTCGATATAATGAAAGGAAGTTATCTTAGGGTTGAAAGAATGATACGAATAAATAGTCTCATAATTAATAATTCTTCTTCTCATACATTAAATACATTAGTATTTGGCATAACATTACATAATCTCAAACCCAAGGCTAAGTTGAAAATAATGTTTTTATTGATATTTATTAATAGATTAATAAAAATATTAAACTAATTTGACAATAATTTAAGAATATAGTTCAGGTTACCTCGATTATAGAATCGAAAACTTTTATAAAAATAGTTATATGTTTTATTATAGTGGATTAAGTTTTCTTACAATATTCCCAATTATTCTGAACAAAAGACTATTGCAGTCACTTATTTGTTAGGAAATATTAAAATTCAAATTTTAAAAGATAAAATATAATTTATAGGGAATAAGTAAAATTAATGGAAACAATATAAAGTTATGATAATCTGAATATTAAGTTAATTTAAAGTTATGATTTAATGTTTTATATAAAGTAAAATAAATGCCAAAATAATCTGTTTATGAACACTTAAAATGAAAATTCTTTTCATAATATAATGAGTTCTTCACTGTATTAGACATTCACTGTAATGTTATTATAAGCTTTTGATTCATATTTCACTGATTCCTTTGAGCATCAATAGCCTCAACAGTACAGTAGAGTTATGTCTGTATTGAATACAAAGCTATGATTGACAAGACGTGCGGGGTTTCAATGATGACCAGTAATTGCAAGTCAGGCCTATTTAAGTGCAAACTATTCTTACAAATGATTATTCAAATAACTTAAACACAAAACAATTCTTTTATAACTTTTGGTTATAAGTCAACGGACTTTGAAATGCGGACAAAAGGGAGATCCAGTGTTTAATAAATATACTGTAAGTATTATACGACTATTAAACAAATATATTTTAACAATAGTCTAATAAAATATTTACTCAAACTTATAAATGAATTCGTAAATAAAAAAGCGCTTGATCAAACATTTTGAAAAAGGATTACACTTTGATATTTTGATTGATTCTAATTTATCCATAAATCAAATAATTGTTTATAGCTAATAGTAAAAATCTAAATTCTTTTAAGAAACAAATGATTGAATAATAAGTTGATGTAAAAATGGAAAATAAGCAAAAAATCACGAATTCTCCATCCATTCCGAGACCTTATTCACAATCCAGTTCTTAAGTGAGCTTTAAATACAGTTTTATAACATTTCATAAAACTATGAATTGATAAGATTTCGCAGATCATTACCTGCGAGGGATACCTATCTCGTGGCTCCTCACAGTCCACAAGTCTTACAGTTACTGTACTTCTCATAGAAGTTGCTTATGATGTGAGTGCAGAGCGTGTACTACAATAGTGAAGCACTCGTTACTGCAAACTGCGTTACGAAATGCATTGCTATACAGGTATACCAGAAGTTTCATTGGCCTGAAGCCAGTTTAACGGATGAAAAGTTTTTAGCATTACTTTTCTCAGGGCATCAGTCGCTCGAGGGATACACTGGTATCGACACACAGGCTTTGACTGACGCTTTTGCAGGCAATATCTCGTTATATAATACCTGAGTTGCAGTCACTATACCTTCACTGTAAGCGCAGACTTGTATTGTGGAGATCAGTGTTAAGTGCACTAAACCAGAGCGTCACCAAAATGCGGATGTGAGTACACTATTATATCATATATCTGTACATTATTAGCCAATTTTACCATGTTCACTTCACCATCGCTCTCCTTTCCTTGCCCTCCTCACCACTGTTCCTAATATTTTATGTGTTTTATTTTTAATATAAGTTTATTTCATATTAACTTATTTTAAACATATTATATTTGACGACTAAAACCAGTATTTGATGTCCCTTTGTTATTCATTTCCGATTCATTTATTAACTTTTTGTTTGTAATTCTTATTTTAATATTCAGTTAGTTTAATAGAAAATATCAATATTCATATTTTTGTTATAAGATATGAAAATATGAGCATGATTAGACATTAATATTACATAAATAAGTGCCAATATTAGCGCTAATAAATGGATTGTGTGTTAAGTTATGGCAATTCAATGAAAACCTGAAACCGCTTAACAGGTGTTCACTACTATTACTATTACTTCGTTCTTTGACCCAAACCTTTGTTTGAGTCCACTCTGGCTTTGAGTCTCTTATGTAGTCTGAGTTTGTATGGGTCTCCCTATGGGTCAGACCTATTTTCATATACTACACTTAGATATTTGTGCTGTTTTCTCAAATATTTTCAATATTTTCTCTTGTATTACATTTTTAGAAATATCAATAATATTGTTGGCATAAAAAACAAAACTACATTCAAATTATTCAAAATCTATAATAAGGCGAAACTTTTTGTTTGTTATATAATGTGTTTTGTTTTTGTTGTGAAAATAGAAATCATGAAAATTTTGAATAAATGTTGCATTTATGAGAACAAAACGATTTGAATAAATTTACATAAATATGATTTAAATGTAAAACTCAATTAGAAATATAATGAAAACTAGTTTAGAGTACACTTCTCATCACACAATCATATTCTATGCAAACATAAATTTATTTTGATGTAAATATTATTGCATAAGAAGTGTATTTATTTCTAATTTATAGGACTCTTAATACTAATTAAATCCAAATTATTATGAAATAAAATAACTTAATTATAAAGTCTTTAGAATTTAATTCTTTTGATTCACATT